CTCGACGACCTCAGTTGCCATTGTCGCGCATTGAATCAAAGCAACGAGAACACGAGGCTGTACGGCTGTACGAGCTAACATCCGGCATGGAATTTCACGAAGTCGACGCATCATTAGCCAAAACGGTTGATCACATTAAGTATTAACTGGAAAAGGCCGTAATTGCAAACCACAGAGTTAAATTGTAAGCTGATATAATGAACCATGATGCGTTGTAAAACAAAACACTTGGCTCGCGCCGGATGCCGACCGTTCTAAAGAGTGTTATCACCGCAGACACTTTTTTTTTTCACCGAAAACCACGACTTAAAGGTTGTAATAACCACAACCCGCTTAGTGTTTTGAAACCGGAATACCGCGAGTTAAAATAAAAATTACCGCAAAACCGCACCAAAAATAACGCAAAACCGCATCACCGCAAACCCTTACGCCCCCCTCTTTTAGCTTTAGGCACATCTAAATATTGCCGTAGATAACTGAGCACACCACAATAAATAAAGTCAGTGGCTCAAAGCAACTTTTATTTCTCACCTGTCAAACTCATTATGATATCATACACCTTTTAGTATGGTGAGTACAAAACTCAGGTCACAGGTCACAGGTGCTGGTTAGAGTACAGGTCACTGTTATACGGTAAATAAACAACACTAAAAATGTCTCCAAGGGGCCTATTTGCCAAAAATGAGCATTTCTGGGCAAATTGTCCCTGAGATCGTAGCCCAGTTATGCTTAGAAAACTCCATACAAACCCTTCTAAATTTTTTTGGGGTCGACCCAGAAAAAGATTAGAAGGGTTTGTATGGAGTTTTCTGAGTTTAACCGGCTAACATCTCACAGACAATTTGCCCCAAAATGCTCATTTTTAGTAAGTAGGCCTCTTGGACATTGTTCTTTCAGAATATCCTGACAAATCCCATAATTTCAGAAATTTCGTTTTTATGACGTCATCACTTTAGTACTCTATACTGGGTCAGTTTTACTCTCTAAAGACTTGAGGTTTGAGATGAGAGTCTATTGAGTCAGTGTTGGCTTGCTCCTGACAAACAAAAAGATGCAGCCTGCAAATACCACCACCTCTCCCTGTCACCTTGTTGTGCCAGGGAGTTGTGTGAAGAGGCCGCATCTGTATGCTAAAGAAGATGTTACAAAAATTTTGCCTAAGCATAGACATATACACATCTAAAGAAGCATAAAAAATTAATTTGCCACAAGTGAAGCAGACTGTGACAAGCTGGCACCAAGCACAAATCCAGTATGGTTTAAAAGAAGAAAATTGTATTGAGTGCCAACTTTTTTTTACTGCTTGTGGTCATATCTTTATAGGGAAAAAAATGTCTCAACTGGGAATAAGCACAAGCATCCCAAATGACATACTGGTAAGCATAATCACAAGTCAAAAAAACAAAACAAAAACAATAAAGAATAACAAAAGGCATTAGCATTCTTATTTCTATGTACACACTTATGTACTGAATGTCCTCATTAGACACACAAGTATCATACTCTTACATTATTATGCAAATATCTCTAGCACCAACAGTCTTTAAAAAATGTGGTTGACAAAGTGACTGCAAGAACAGATTGGTTTTCCATTGCACTGGTTAGTTGCAGAAATGAGTTTTGTCCACTTTCTTTCATGTGTTCCAATATTAGGCAGTTAAATTTCCATCGAGAGAAAAGTGCCCAATCCAAAGTTAAATCAACTAGGAGCACTTTTCATTAGTTAGAACTAATGGCTGACCAGACTAGTCTTAAAGAAAATTTCAAGATTAGTTGGTTCTATCCAGCCAGATTAATATTTTCTTTGACTGGTCTAACCTGCCAGTTCTGACTTTTGATTGGCATCCTTAGTTATTACACTTCTATCATATTCTAGGTCTATTGATTGTGGGACTGGTCACTGAGCCAAACAAAGCAAAAACCACACAATATGTAACACATACTCAACAGTCCTTTCATGTAAACACATTCTACAGTCTATTATTGTCTCAGGGTCAAATCCCTCAGCCACTTGGCATTGAGCAGAGAGGTGACATCTGGTAGTAACGACCTTAATAATCACTATTAAATTAAAATATACTAAAATGAATATTTTAAAAACTGGACTTCTACACAAACTAATTTGTAATTTGAGTGACTATTAAAAATTAGTTACATGACTTTTGGGAAAAGCAGACGTACATTATATACACAAAAATCAGAGTTCTCCAGAACATTTAAAGAAGAAGTAGAAAAAATATTTAGGCAGGCTTCATCAAGAGTGGGGGTCAAAAGAAGGGGGCGTTGCTCTCCTTCCATTAGAGGGGGCTAGGGGTTCCCCAGGGAAAAAAATTGGAATCCCTGTTAAGTGAATTTCAGTGCTTTTTGAGTGACCAGAGAGGTAATTTTAGCCACGAGAATAGCACCTTTATTTACCCACGTTAGTTTCATTTTATATTGTACGTTTGTTTTCATCCAATTTGGGTGTTGTGAAAAAACTACAAAAGATTTATTTCCCTATTTGAAAAATAACTATTTTTGGAGAGCTGCCAGTGCTTCCATGACAACTAAAACTAACTTTTGCCGGTCGCTGGAACCTCTGGTGAGCCCTGACAAAATATATCTAAAAATGTTGAAATTTAATTTTGCCAAGCTCATAACTAGTACTGTCCATTACCTGCAAATTCTAAGCATTGACTAGCATGTTACTGAAAAATCTAAGGTAAGGTGTCTGCCTCATAGAGTGTCAAAGGCAAGTGAACGCTGAGTTTTAATTAAACCCAAACNCAAAAACCACACAATATGTAACACATACTCAACAGTCCTTTCATGTAAACACATTCTACAGTCTATTATTGTCTCAGGGTCAAATCCCTCAGCCACTTGGCATTGAGCAGAGAGGTGACATCTGGTAGTAACGACCTTAATAATCACTATTAAATTAAAATATACTAAAATGAATATTTTAAAAACTGGACTTCTACGCAAACTAATTTGTAATTTGAGTGACTATTAAAAATTAGTTACATGACTTTTGGGAAAAGCAGACGTACATTATATACACAAAAATCAGAGTTCTCCAGAACATTTAAAGAAGAAGTAGAAAAAATATTTAGGCAGGCATCATCAAGAGTGGGGTCAAAAGAAGGGGGCGTTGCTCCCCTTCCATTAGAGGGGGCTAGGGGTTCCCCAGGGAAAAAAATTGGAATCCCTGTTAAGTGAATTTCAGTGCTTTTTGAGTGACCAGAGAGGTAATTTTAGCCACGAGAATAGCACCTTTATTTACCCACATTAGTTTCATTTTATATTGTATGTTTGTTTTCATCCAATTTGGGTGTTGTGAAAAAACTACAAAAGATTTATTTCCCTATTGAAAAATAACTATTTTTGGAGAGCTGGCAGTGCTTCCATGACAACTAGAACTAACTTTTGCCGGTCGCTGGAACCTCAGGTGAGCCCTGACAAAATATATCTAAAAATGTTGAAATTTAATTTTGCCAAGCTCATAACTAGTGCTGTCCATTACCTGCAAATTCTAAGCATTGACTAGCATGTTACTGAAAAATCTAAGGTAAGGTGTCTGCCTCATAGAGTGTCAAAGGCAAGAGAATGCTGAGTTTTAATTAAACTCAAACAAAAAAGGAATAATTATTTTGGTGACCTCTGTATCTCCCTCCCTTCCCATAAAATCTATTTCTGGTCTGAGTTAAACATCAACTTAGCCAACATTACTTCAGTGACACACAGGTTTTTAGCAACAGCAACATAGGACAGGAAGAAAAAGACAAGGAAAAACTACAGTACAGAACCATCATTACAAGAAAAGTTAAGCTACTTGTCCTTCAGAGGTAAAGTTACATATTATAATACATTTTTAAAGCTCAGTTTTTGACTTTGCTTTAAGTGCCCAAATAACAGTTTAAGACAACGGTATTTTTTTCTGAGTCAAAATGAAGTTTCTTCAAAATTGGTGGCCACTTCTGCTTGAAGTTTCAGATCCTTAAAATGCCTAATATTTTGGGCCTTTTACCATTGCGACTGGTTATCATTTTTCCATTATTTTAGGAGCAACAGGACTATTTTGAAGCTGTTTATATTGGTAGCTGTTTGTCTTGGACATTGATATAAAGAATAAGAAAGTACTTAAAAGAATGCAATTCTCAATCCACTTTATATCAATGGCTTGGAAGTCAGTAAAAAACAAAATAATACCTTGAATTTAATACCCAAGTCAGATCTTAATTTCTTCTATGTATTGGTGGCTCAGTTGGGTTAGTTTGGCTTGTTGCCGAAAATCTTGGCTGCATATGTTGTGGTTCAATTTTGTCCTTGGCTTAAATTTCACTTTTTTGTTGGGGTAAGGAAATGTGGTTATTATCAGTTCAAAACAGGTGAAAGTGAATTTTAACTAAGGCTAAATTGTGGCATTTGAGTCAAATGGCTCATAAAGCTGCAGCTAAACTAATGCAGTTTAGCATGAAGCAATTAAGAACACTTCTATTCCCACCCTTAACCCTTTAAGCACCAATAGTGACCAACAGCAATTTTCTCCTAACGATATCCATACACTGTCATGAGATGAAGTTAACTAATTCTTAAAGGAAATGTATAGAGATCAGTTTGGAGAATTTGTATGTGGATATTGGGGCTTAAAGGGTTAAAAGATGTCGGTCCATCCTGGGGTTACTCCTAGTGTTAAATCTGTTATCTCTAACAAGAAATTTTCTGGTATGCACAATGACATCTGGAAATTGTGTGACGTACACACAAATTGTGAGAGAAGCAGCCTGAACCTGGACCTCTTGCCAATGAGCACCAACCAAGGAGGCACCACATCTCCCACAAAGGATCAACATATATCTGGTCAGGGGTTTGTTCTGGTTTGGCAGCAAATTTAAACAAGCCAAAAGAGTCATTTTGTTGGTATATGGTTATGACTTGCCATGTATTCCAAAGTCTAGCTTTCTAGAGTAGAATTCCAAATAAAAAATCCATTTTTTACAATAACAAGAACCACAAACTCAACCTTTCCTTTTCATTGCTTTTATGAATTTGTCCACTTCTTTCTTAGCCTTTTTCTCCCACTGCTCCTTATCTTCTAGCTGTTCCCAATACCTCTTAAGCTTTTTCTTCAGTTTTTTCTCTGAAATGTCCGGACGTGATTTTTTAATCTCGGCTGCCTTGTCTAAAGACCAGAGATCAAAAGCATTTTTTGGCGGTGTCTCGTTAGGATAATGGTCGACATAATACTGAACGATATCATGCTCGTACTTCTGACGACTTTCCCGGTACATTTCCTTGTATTTTTCTTTTTTCTCATCAGAGAGTTTGCTCCATTTTTTCGCCAGTTTTCCCATCACCTCCTTGTTGCCGTACTTTTGAGCCAAGCGTGGTCGCTTTTGTTCGCAGAACAGGAGATAAGCGGTTAATGGCATCTTCGGAAGTGACGGATCTCTGTCGTCTCTTTTCCTTTTTCTGGTCTTTTTTTGATCGGCCACTTTCTTCTTGGCGTCCTCTAAGACCTCATTAGCGGTTCTCATCTTTCGAATTTTGGACGTTAAAGTGTTCCAGCGTTTGTGAACCTCGGTTTCATCGCGTCCATCCAACCTCACTTCACTCCACACGATGTCCTTGATATATAAGTTTTTCTCTTCCGAAACGTTCCCCAAGTGCTCCTCTACTTTTTCCAAGAGTTTAATATCTTCATCATGCGCCCAAACGTTAGATTTCTTCTGAATTATTCCATTCACGCTTTCCCTAGTGTCGTCCGCCATTTTGGACGCGGCCGCTTATGTTCGTCCCCAGTCTTTGCCGCTCAGTAGTTCCAGTCCTAATCCGCGAGGACCTGACTCATTGCGGTTCAACATGGTGAACATGGCGAACCAAGGATTGTTCGGCCATGCCGGGAGGTCTTCTTCGAAAAATCTCGTCGAATTTCGAGCTGGCAAGATGACTATGAAGGGCTCAACTGTTACGCCAGACAAAAGGAAAGGATTGGTGTATATATATCAAAGTGATGACTCACTGATGCACTTTTGTTGGAAGGACCGCGGCACGGGAACTGTCGAAGACGTAAGAAAAATGAGACAATAAGCTTTTCATTATATAACTCTTTTGTCCTTTTTTAGAGCTTGTTTAACTCTTATACAAGCTTTCTGTACTAACTAAGATGTCCTTGTCAAAAGGAATGAAATTTATCTCGACTATTTTCCCAAATTGATAAATATCGGTTAAGTGATTATTGTCGACACTAATCAATATAAACTGGGAGTTTCAACGTGAAAGTGTGTGCTGTTGTTGGAACTGAAAGATATTACTGGTAATAAAAGCGACAAATGAACTATTAGGAAGTACACAGTCAACCTTTATATAACGGCGCAGTACATAGTGGTCAACCGGTATATTACGGTCACCGGACAACTTCCCCAAATTTTCAGTTGCCTTATATTTTCTGCAAAGTTGCCCTGTATATAGCAGTCACCCTGTATATAACGGTCACCTTGCCATTTTCTTAGGGTGACCGTTGTACACAGGTTTGACTGTGTAAGCTTATATATATTATATAAAGGACTGAAGGGGTTACAGTTTTTTCCCTTACTGAGCAATGTTTCCAACGGTCAAAGGTCACTCTCTTATTTAGTCTGACCTGCAGTGTTGATTTCTTCATGCTCAGTCCCTACAGACCCTACAATAAGCCTGCTTTTCTAGCACTAATCCCTCTTTCTTTCACATCTCTCAATCCCTTTGTGACATTTTCCAGACCGTTGCAACCCCATTCTAGCAGTCACAACTGGGGAAAGTATAAGAATTCCAGGTTCAACTCCGACGCTTTCGGTTATATATAGAAAATGCAGTCACGCGAAACGAAATCAAGTCGCCTCCGAATGAGTGAAGAAAATTTCTGTACGGAGTGGAGAAGAATTACATTTTACGACTATATCATATATCCTAAGGTTTAATTATAGTTATAGATAAGAAATAAATCCTATCCAGATAATGTACGCAGCTAATTCATCGATTCTGTACAGCAAAGAAAAAACTGTCCGGATACTGGGCACCTGACATCAATACTTCGTGAATGTTTCTGGGCTCCATTATTCCAAACAAATCGAATTTCAAGAAGAATTAATAAACTTTCTGAGAACCTGACTTCTTTAAGTATCTTCAGTTTAAATATAAAACCGTTTCTTTGAAAATATCACATATTACCTACCCTTTTCTGAGCAGCACTAATTTTACTGCGCAGTAAACAGCGTAAATATTAGCCAGAAATGTTTATTCACCTGAATAGAACGGCGTCTTCTGTGACTGTTTCGCAAGCTTTCAACTCGCCAAAACCTTCATCTTAAAGCTGAAATGTTCAGCTTTCATTCGAAATACTTTGTTTACTGATAACTGAAAAGGGCGCCTCAAAAGTTGAGTTTTTGTTTTAAGTGTCCGGATACTGGTACCGTCCGGATACTGGGCAACGTACTGTACCCTACAATAGTCCTATATTTCTAAAATTTTCTACATTTTTTAAACAGGATCTTATCATCTTCCCGGATGACATTGAGTACAAACGTGTCAAGCAGTGCACTACAGGGAGGGTTTATATCCTGAAATTCAAGTCATCCACACGCAAGTTCTTTTTTTGGATGCAAGAACCGAAGACAGACAAAGATGAAGAGTATACTACAAAAGTGAACAACTTGCTCAATAATCCACCCACCCCTGGGTCGAGTGGTGGTGGAGGTGTACTCCCCCCTGGACTTACTGAACAATTGGGTAGGTGTTTTATTTTATTTTCATTTTTACCCCATACTTTGCAATACTACACTTTACTTGCATTGCACAGCTTTTTTGATCATAGTCGTATGTAAGGTGATCAAACCGTAGTTAACTTTTCAAAATTGCTTTGTTGACTGTGAGATTGACAAATTTTTAGCCCCATTTTAAGATGTAAAATTATTAGGACAGTACATATACATGTAGTTTACAATGCAAGGAAGTGAAACTTTGGGAACAACTTTGCTCAAGACATTCCTGCAAAAAGTGAGGCTTAATCCACCAACTTGTATTAGAGTTTCTAATCCTCTCACAAGACAACTCCTGTGTCCCTCAAGGTGGGAATCTGATTTCCTCAAGATGAGAGTCTTGTCTCTGGAGACCATAGTTTTGTCTTCCTCTTGCTAAAGGGTGGTAACTTACTTTCAAGTGGAATTGTGAGTTTTAGTCCTTGTTGACAAATTACTTCCTTTCTCAACAGCTGATAGTCAGTTGCAAGGCCTTCTGGGTAATCTGGATCAGCAGCAGCTGCTTCAGTTGTTGAGTGGTTATGGCGGAGGCCTAGGGGGTCATGGAGGGCTGTCCAGTGCTGGAAGCTCTATAAGTCCTCCTACAGCAGCGTCGCCTACGTGAGTTTGTTTTACATAATAATTATTTTAAACTGTTTTTAAAAGAGGAGGTATATATAATGATGTACATTGTTATTTATTATAAAAGGAGCTGCAGCTGCATCTCATGAGATCTTAGAATAATTAGCCTAAAAATTTGGATTATGTAATTTGGAATCCAGGTTTATAATATTCTCCAACCTAAATGATCCTTAGGCCCTATTTTCATTAGTCTGCTACACAGCCATTGTTAGTGGCGTCACTCTGGCAACGCTCCTCCCCTCAAATGGCTGCTGAAAATCAAACCACATCAGTAAAGCGATAGATTTATTATGCAACACAGCAACTCTGTATGTGCAGCACATTTTTTAAATACGTCAATTTTTCATTGTCGTCACCACATGACTACAATGTTTAATGTCAGAAGCCTAATTTCACATTTTACGGAAGAGATAAACAAGCCACGATGAAATTTTCTTTCTTCTTTTGAACTTGGATATGGTTATTACAAATTCAACTCCAGATGAGTCCTCTTAAACTTGAAAAAGTAAGTAAAGTGAGGTGGAATAATCAAGATTAAAATTGAAAGAATGTGAATTCTTTTTTTGACAAAGTTTTTCTGCCCTTGCGGTCCTTGGATTTTAAGGTCTCAACTCTTATATTAATGGTATCACAGGCCTACCAGGGTGCAATCCTCACCTGGACCAAGGAGCGCATCATCAGCCTCCTCATCAGGGACTACTACACCACGCCCTGCCACGGCAACTCCCACTGTGCCCCCTCCTGCACCATCCCGTCCAAGCCAGCCTCCAAGCCAGCCACCTGCCCGGCAAGCGGTGCAACTGAGTGACCTGCAGAATATACTGTCCAATATGCAAGGTATGTGGTGCCAATAATTGAAGGCCTGGACACCTTGAACTTTGGATCTATAGGTCCAGGTTTCAAGTCTTGCTGTTGCATTGCTTTTTTTTAGACAAGACCCTTATATAGCTCCAATTTTTCTCTTGTCACCTAGGTGAATAAATGGGCACTGAACACTGAGGGTATCCCTGTGACAACCAGGGATTGAAAAGTAGCAATTCCACTACTCCTGGGCCAGATTGTTTACAGCTACCTGGGTTAAGATAACCCAGGTTAAGTTCAAGCTTCAGATATCTAAAAAGCAAACTCTGTCTAAATTTTGATGATTGTATTAGCGAAAATTATCGAAGGAAAAAAGAGAGTAACCCCAGAGTAGAATTTACCCTGTGTTAGTGCTAACCTGCTTTCGAACATCAGCGTTTAAGGTGCCTCTTACAACAGAAATGGGGTTAATGCAGGACAAAAATCCTCTGAAACTTTCTCAGTTTGTTATAAATCTAACTTTAGTTAGTATTCTATGCGAAATATATGTGACAGAAATTACATTATTTTTCAATATTTGTCACATATAAATAAAAAGCTTTGATGGTTAAAGCTAACTTTTTTCTTGTTTTTCTCTTTAATAGTTCCCACTGAAAATGATGAACGTCCCAGAGAATGTAAGTAAACTGTGTACCTTAACTTCGTCTTTGTCTCATCAATTATTTCACAAATTCTGACTCTGCATTTCTTTTGTTAGCAATATTTCTGCATGCATTTGACCACTTCCAAAACTCCTCATTTCTGGAAACACAATTNTAGTGCTAACCTGCTTTCGAACATCAGCGTTTAAGGTGCCTCTTACAACAGAAATGGGGTTAATGCAGGACAAAAATCCTCTGAAACTTTCTCAGTTTGTTATAAATCTAACTTTAGTTAGTATTCTATGCCAAATCTACGTGACAGAAATTACATTATTTTTCAATATTTGTCACATATAAATAAATAGCTTTGATGGTTAAAGCTAACATTTTTTCTTGTTTTTGTCTTTAATAGTGCCCACTGAAAATGATGAACGTCCCAGAGAATGTAAGTAAACTGTGTACCTTAACTTCGTCTTTGTCTCATCAATTATTTCACAAATTCCGACTCTGAATTTCTTTTGTTAGCAATATTTCTGCATGCATTTGACCACTTCCAAAACTCCTCATTTCTGGAAACACAATTTAATGCATTTAACTTGATTCTTGGCCCAAAAATTGAGTTATGCAAGAATTGAGTTGTGAGGATCAAGTCAAGACTGTCAACTCACCTCAAGCAGTACAGTTAAAGGAACTGTGTCACGAAATTCAGTCAAATTAGTTAATTACAAAATGCCCGTTAAATCCAAGAGAAACATAAAAATAACTGCGTAAAACATTAAAGGAAGGTTAAAATAACATAACAGATACAGCAGATGTCACGGATGGGCAAAAATGAAGAAGATTAAAACGGATTGAATTTAGGGTTTTTGAAAACTGTTCAGCCTAAAAGTTTTTCAAAGTTTATCTCTGCTGTTT